TTATTAGTAAAAACTCTTTTATAAAGTTATTTAAAAGTTTTTAGCTTTATATATATAAAGAGTTTAATAATATTATTAAAAGTATTATTAAAAATAAAGATAATAGTAACTTTATAATAAGTAATTACTTAAAGTAAAAATATATATTTCTAGTTAATAGCTTCTCTATACTTAGTAATATAGCTAAAATACTTTTTATTAAAGAAGTTAATAAGCTTAATTAGCTTATATTTATTAGAGCTAAGTTTTAATAGTATTATATATATATAAAAGTTATATTAAAGTATTTTTAAGTACTTAGATAGAAATAAATATAAAAAAATTAATAGTAGTATAAGTATAAAGATTTTATAATTTTATTTTTTTTAAGTATTAAAGTAGTATATAACTATAATAGTATACTTTAGTTATTAAGTTAAGATTTTTCTAAGTTTTTATAGTTAAGAAATACTAAAGCTTAAGGCTTACTTTAGATACGTAATATAGTCTACGAAAAACTACTCTGTTTAGAGAATTCACGCACTAATCAGGTTATACCTGTTAAGGTCTAGAGCAATGTGACAGTGCGGCCGGATTCACTTCACCCGGCGGGTGGCCCCTTCCGCAGCTTCGGCATGTCACGCACCGACTCCCGCATTGCGAGTGTACTTCCGTGGATGTGCTGCTCTAAACCATTTCCAAATTTTCAAGCGCTTGAGTAGCGAAGCAAGCCCAACTTCTATGAGCGCGCAAAGAAACGACATTAGCGAAGTAAAGCATGTTCGTCGACAATCAAAGCATTGCGCATTATCCTGCAGTTTGCAGAGAAGGGAAAGGCCGCCAAAGGCACCAGGAGACATATACAAAGAGTCACGAATAGCAAGCATTGCAATTTGGCGCGCGCTGTATAGCGCGTGGCGCCTACGATGAACATGGGCGGAACGGAGCGTCTACCACGAGAACTTGGCAGCGGCAGCACCAACAAAGGAACGCTCTTGACGATAACGCCATTTACCGGATCACTGGGGCGTCAATCACTCTTGCCGATGCAGGCATGTCTCAGACATCACAACAAGGAGCCTATAGCCCATATGTAAAATGTCTCAGCCGTGTTGATCTCAGGCGTTGATCATCACATATAGACTGCGCCCCATCACTCGTCTGTCTTTTCATCTCTATTCAACTCGTTTTCACCAACTCGTTTCCTTTTTTTAGATGCTTCAGGTCTTTTTGCACATCTATCACGATGCCAGACGCTCCGCTACCCAACGGCAACAGCGAGGGCATCAAGAAATCCAGTAACTCGTTCTCGCAGACGACCGTACTTACGGTTGGCTACGTCGCCGTATCTGTTGTCTTGGTGGTCATGATAGCTCGGATAGTGCTCCTTGTGCTGCGGCCGAAGAGGTTTGTAGCGGAAGACTACTGCGTCTTTTTAGCATACGCTTTCTTCGTTTCTCAATGCGCACTATACATTGCGATTGCGCCATTGTCAGACCGCGTCGTGGCAGTCCAAGAGGGAAGAGCGCCATATTATCCGGAACTGATCGATGAAGGTTTCTTGCTGGGAAGGCTGTACTTCCCCGCTCTTATCATCTTCTGGATAATACTTTGGCTGGTTAAGTTTAGCCTGCTGTTCCTGTATAGAAAGCTTCTGGTAGGAGTGCCAAGTGTCTACAACAAGATCTGGTGGTTCATCGTGGTGTTTTGTGCCATTGTAAGTCCCCGTACAGCTTCGACCCTGATGCTACCTGCGCTCAAAGGGATCGATAGACTCAAGTAGGGAACTACGTCTGCTATATCGAATCCTGCGAGACTTTAAAAGGGTTCTTCAACGGTGGCTGTCACGACAGGGTGCGTCAGTTCATGAGTGTCTGGTATTCTTTCGCTGCTGACACGCTGACCAACATCATGAGTACGTGCGAGCACACAATACATATACCATTCAGAGCTTCATCTGATCAACGCTCTTTACAGTCATTGCGTTTCCCATGCATCTGACGTGGAATCTTCAATTGCCACGAGGACAAAAGATTGGGTGGGTCATAAGCCGAGTTGACGTTCAGTATGCACTGCTGATACCCTCGCAGTATGTGTCTCCGCCCTCAAACTTCAAAAAACACAGCGGAGTTTGAGCCATTCAATGCTTGATGTTGCCAATCATAATGTATGATACCCTGGAAGCTGACAGACGGGCTAGGCATCAATGCGCTTTTCGCTAGTGCTGTTCTTTGCATCATGATATCTACACTCCGAGCCGCCCAAATTACCGCAAACACGATCAATACAGATGCCGACACAGACGGAACATGGCTCGCAGTTTGGGGCATGGCTGAGTGCGCCGTTGGTACGTCCGCTGTCCTTCATTCCACGATTTGGTTGAGCATGACTGGAAACTACCGATGGCAATGTCGCTAACCAGATCGACAGCCGTAGTCATCGGTCTAACCCCATCATTTGCTGTCCTGGTTCGCGCAGGCCGAAACGCAATAAGAAGACCTGATGCGGATGAGCAAGAAGTCCAACTCACTACCATTGGTGGCTCGGGTGGATCGGGGAACCGCAAGGAGAACCCATCAGAGACGTGGCTAGCGATGGATGATAGTAGGGAAGAGCTTGCGACAGCACATGACGCGGCGTCCGTAACCACAAGTGTACACCTTGAAGAAGGTAGCCTTGGCCTCAGACGGTAGGATTATAAGAGTGTCCGGCATGTACTATGATCTTTCAGTCTCGAGTGAAAGGAGGTTGATCGAAGAATGTCTTATGGTGCACATGCTATATCCCAGAATTTAGGTACATGGAGCCAGTAGTTGAAAGGTCGCGTCCTCAGCATACGTCTTACCTTGATGTATGAGTGAGTAGGCAAAAAGTCCGCATGCACTGATATTGTGCGAACGACTCCAATGCGGGCTTCCGGTCGTGCATTAGTACGCGTTGAAGGAGGTCCCGATCCCACTCATAGGATCGCTTCCCCGGCTCTGGTAGTTTGATAGCCGCTGGCCACGTTCACAGCGCCCGACGGATGACGAAGGTACACTGGTGCCTCCCGCGCGATGAACTTCTGGTACGCTTCCGAGACATAATGGCTATGGAATTCCTGTGAAGCAGCCAAGGAATCATGCAAGTCGAACGAGTGATTGATGTAGAGATGAGTTGAGTGGGGCGCGCGAGCAGACACGGCAGGTGCGACCTCGAATGGGCGCGTCGGCTGAGGCCCGTGCCGCTTTGCCAAGGTGGCCCCGTCCTCGCGCGCATCATTGCAGTTTTCCCCCTTCAGGACTCAATCAAAACATCGTTCTTTGCGACGCGCCCGCAAGGTACTGGACTGTAAAACAAGCATCCTTATCGACAGGGTAAAACGGCGAAGCACATAAGGCAGGTCACGGGTCGGGGCTTTGCGCGCACGCGGCGGCACTATGCTAGCACTCCTTACCTTCGCGGATGCATTCTTCCGCGGCATGAGCAAGTCACATTGTCGCGTCTGGACTATGGCTCTGCAACTCTATTGCACATACCGCTCTGGTAGCAGTGTCCAGATAGCTAACGGGACAGCATTAAGAGAGAGTTCTGCGATATTTCGGACACCTCCAGAATTGCCAACGGCCGCTCCTAACATCTCTCTAGACATCAAGCGCTCACGACCCTAGCATCTTGCCGTAACGATGCCACTTGTCGACGAGCCAAGACAATTTCACCAGCAATGACGAACAGAATGTATCGTGGTGTGGTGTACACAACACAGCGCCTTTGATGAGCGCGGGCGGTACGGAGCGTCTGTCGACCAAGCTGGGCACCAACACCAAGAAAGATTGCCTGGATCACTAATCACCTACCGGAACACCGGACCATCGATCGGCCTCACTGCTACAATCAGAACCTAAGTTGAATACCAAGAAGCCCGCACCCAATGTTTGAAGTCACATGATCGATCTAGCTTACGACCTCGCAAAGTGCACAGCGTGAACGTCGCGTATATGCGTCCTAGACATAAGCAACACGTATCAAGATTCAGATCAACATCTTCCATTGGATACCTTCTCTTCGCAGGATGGCGCTACATAGCTCAAGCCGACGATGGCCAGCAACCTAATCTTTACATCTGCTAGCCGAAGGTTCATGTCAAATAAGGCACACAACGTCGCTTAGCTATCTATATGCACTCTGCCGGGCGTAACAGGGACGCAACATGAACAACCACTCGTAAAGCTTCAATTTCCACAAGCTCGTCGCCGGATGCCGATTTACCGTGCAATAAGTATGCGACGGCAATGTTCGAGGCTCGATCGGGAGGGTGATGTACATGGACAGCAAGGCTTACAGCGAGATAAGGCATGTAAGCAGGATATGACAGAAAGTAACAATGGTACCGTACCACTCATTCATCTTTCCGCTAAACGTGGGATGCACGAGGAGTATTGATTTTGGCATGCGAGGGAATAGCAAGCTGTATCCAGTCCTGGAGTGACAAGATATGCCAGCGTTCGCTGAGATGTGCTATAAAAGACGGACGAGGAAGCTATGAAGGGAATACACACAGCAACTCAACCTCGGTGAACTCCAAGCATCGACTTCTTTACCCTACTCAATTTGCGTACACCATGTCTGCCATGGAGGGGACGTCGTCAGACATGGGTGAGAGCACGGATGTCTCTACACCCATCGACAATCATCCCACATCTAAATTCGTCACAAGCCCATCAAGGGCCGCAAAGAAGATCCTGTACCATGCCCACACCTTGGTCCTCTTCACGTGCGACAACCTAAAAGACGTGGTCATCCCTCCCGCAGTTTTCGGCGTGCTCGCCACTCTTTCCGGCCCGGCTTTGGATCTACCATCCCAAGACGGTCTCGCGGTGTTGCGAAGAGTACCAACAACGTTGACATGGCTTTGGCTGATGTTGTTGCCATGCTGCCTGCAAAATCAGTGTCATGAATCCTCACTCCAAGAAGACGCAATCAACAAGCCCTGGCGTCCAATCCCAACAGGAAGGATCAACACAGCGCAGACTACAATCCTGATGATTGCTGCGTACCTGGCACTTGCACTTGTCAGTTACCGCCTCAACGTAGTGCCGATGTACGTCGCATGGGTTGTCTTCAACACCTTGTACCACGATATGGGCGGAAGCGACTTCAGCGGCATCTCGCGCAATGCCATCTGTGCTCTTGGCCTCGTATGCCCTTTCAGCGGCGCTCTACGCATCGCCCTCGGCCCGGATACTACGATGAGCTACGCAGCATGGCAATGGATCTTTCTGGTCACACTTGGTATCATCGGCACAACGATTCATGCCCAAGACTTTCGCGACGAAGCCGGCGATCGAGCCCGTGGCCGGCGTACCATTCCAATTGAGTTGGGTAGGAGACGTGCGCTGTGGACTGTTGTGGTGGCCGTCGTTTTCTGGACATTTTATGCACCGCTGGTCTTCTTGGGTGCTCGCTGGGAGGCGGCGGTAGTTTCGGTCTCTCTTGGCGGGCTTTTGGTGGGTACGGCTATGCGAGCGGTCGCTATACAGGATGGAAGGTTGGATCGACAGATGTACAAGCTTTGGTGTTTTTGGATGTGCTCTTTTGGCGGACTACCGCTCTTGGCTACTGTTTTCCCTCTGCGAACATAGTCAGGGTCTTATCGGGCGCCGATACGAGGCATCCTCTACTTCGCACGTGCAACACCACCACCGAATGCAATGCTCATCAAAGCGTCGGTCTCATCTCGAAGCTGTAGTGACGGATCGTCTCTTCATGTTCGCGAAATGCAGTGAATATGAACATCTGCATCGCCTCCAAAGGGCAGGCAGCTGTATCGCGGCAATCTCCAAAGCGAGGCGGGGAAGGGCCGAGTGACCTAAAGCGGCAACGTTATGCGGCTCCGCACCTCCAGTCCACAATACCATCAGTATTGCGTGCGGTCGCACCACATATTGGGGCGGTTCTTTCTTGATCGGTTGCGCAGTCCCGTGAGGGGGTGATAGTCTCGATGTGGAACGCAGGACCCGTATATAGTGTGCGCCTAGGTACCTGAGTATCTGCGACTTTGTCACCCTCCAGATAACCTCAAACAACCACCTTTTGTTCCAAGTAAACCATCGATAAATTAGTGTTCATAATGCCGTCCATCCACCCCGCCATCGACAACGGTATCAAGAAGGGCGACCCCAACTTCTCCGGCGGCAAGCTCTACTGCCATTGCCCCACCAAGAAGGTCGAAGTTACCCTCGCTGGCAACGTCGCGCACAACCACGCCTGCGGCTGCTCGAAATGCTGGAAGCCAAAGGGCGCGCTCTTCTCCGTCGTTGGCGTCATTCCAAAGGACAACGTCTCCGTGACCGCCAACGGCGACAAGCTGCACATCATCGACGAATCAGCGGCCATCCAGCGTAATGCCTGCAAGCAATGCGGCGTCCACCTCTTCGGTCGCATCGTCGTCGACCATCCATTCAAAGGCCTGGACTTCGTCCACGTTGAACTCAGTGACAAGAAGGGATGGCAAGAGCCGCAGTTCGCCGCCTTCGTCAGCAGCATCATCGAGCAGGGTTTCAACCCAAAGGAGATGGACGCCGTACGCGAGAAGTTCAGGAAGGAGGGTCTGCAGACATACGATGTACTTAGCCCAGCGTTGATGGATCTCATCGCTACCTACACGGCGCAAAAGAGCGGGAAGCTGTCTTCGAAGTTGTAGGGTTGGGTTGCATGGTTCGGCGTTCCTGGTGTGGTCGGTGGGGATGATGTATTAGTAGATGACGAGGAAGACTTAGACCGAGGCTTGGTCTCATAGATGTTCAAGAAAATCGTGCACCCGAAATACTGGCAAGTGCAGGATGTTTGGTATTATATTGCATGCGACTGAGCACCGTGATCGCGCGCTAAACCTGTCTAACAATACACGACACCTCTTATTCATGGTATTCGTCATGTCACTCGAAGAAAATTGGAACAAACGGGCTTTGGAACGATAAAATTAGTCATTAAAAACTGGGTATCTACAACGGCGCACACTCTTGCTGCGTAAGCGCATTCGCATTAATAAACTCCACCTTACTCTCCCCAACCTCAATATCAAACGTAGAATCCAGCCCCCTCTCACTCAAAACCGTCGTCGCAGTGTAATACACATACTCCGCCGTCTCCTTGCCCGCAGGGCTCATCTCGACAATCGTTGGTGTAAGACGAGGAATAACAAGGCCCTGGACCTTGGTCTTCTTCGACACGTTGAGCTGTGGTGTAGCACCGCTCTGGAGGAGGGCCTTGGAAACGGCTGCGGTGATGGTCATCTTCCACTCGCCTGTTGTGATATCCTTGGCTGTGCATGACTGAGTTTGTTGGTAGAGAACGTTGGGGTTGATGGGGTAGCTGCCTGTGCCGCCGTTGTCGTAGGTTTCGTCGTTGACGCGGATGGTGAAGGCGTCGAAGACGTCGGTGGTGTTGAGTGTCTGGGTGAATTCGAACCACTGGAACACTTCGTCTAGGTATCCAGAGGACGTTCCTAACTTGTAGGTAGCGCGGTTGGCGACGATCTCGGCGGATGCGCTGCCATTGCGCGAAACTGGGATGAGAGAAGCTGTGAGTGTGTCGCCGTCGCGGCCGGTGACTGGTGTGGTTCGGACACGAAGACGTCCTGTTAACTCGACTGCTCCGTCCTTGAGTTGGTATGTTGTGATGTAAGGACGGATATCGGCTGGCTCCATGGGCTCCGTTAGTGTGACATCTCCTGGCACGAGGTGAATCAGCTTTTCGAAGGCAGCTTCACACTGCGACTTGAAGTAAGCCTTGTCTGCAAGCTTGCGCATAGTCGCGTTGTCGTCGGCAAGGAAGATGCGCTTGTCGGAGTTCAAAGTGTTGTTGGCGTTGACGACCAATGGGTTTGCCGTCGAGTTGTTGAGGTACTCTGTTACCACAGCGTTGTCCATTTCTCCGCTGGTGGTATCGAAAGTCGCCTTGTTCTCGGCGGTAACGGGACCGGAGACGATCTCCGGGTGATCGACTGAGTGAACACCTCCAATGCTGTGACCGCAAGCAATCAAAGTGATCATCTCCTTCTCTGTTAAACTGGCAGTTTCAAATCTCTTCCTTGTGGTGTCGAGGTCGGTGTGCGCTTCCGGTACGCCTTTGATGCCAGCCTCTGCCGCGTCCTTGCGGCCCAGTCGTAGAGGCACGCGCATGTCAGCGCAACGAGCCACAGACATGACCAATGACAAGGCCAAAACGTCGGCTGCGGAGCTCCGGATGTTGACTGAACTGGCCATATCGGATAAGGTGTTGTTCAACGCGGCACCAAGATTCTCTGTTCTATCGAGTTCGTATTGAATCGAGGCGTCCAAGCCTCCGATCCCCGTTGAGGCATCGTGGGTGACGGCGTCGTGGAAGTTCGTTCGCACCCATTCTGCGGCCTTTTGGATGCCTGGTTGGCGAGCGCCGAATGAGCAGGTCTGGACCTCTGTTGTTGTGTAAGTTGCAGGAGGGATAAAATGAGGAGTATGGGTACGTACGATCTGAGAGTTCTCCGTTCCTGATGTACCCAGATTGCAGATACAGTAGGTCATCGAGCTGGTCGTACTTGCTGGGCCAGACGTAGGCTTGACAACTCGGGGCAAGCAGCGCAAGGCTGATTAGTTGGTTTCTCCTCATGATCAGTGCGCTTGGATTTTCTAACGAAGGACTAAACGAATGTCAAATGATGATGGTGAAGACCGTTGCGCCGAGCAGCGGTATATAAGGCCTCTAGAATGCGCAATGCTATTAAAGGGTACCAGTACGGGGCTTCTTAAACGGCGCATGATCAATGCGCATACGGGAAAGGCTGCCATAGTGCCCGTTGCAGCGACTAAGTTCGTGTTCAGGATACGATGTAGGATGGAGCATGGAAGGTGTGGGGTTGCGGTTACTCTCACCGAAGAGCTAAGGACAGCTTCGTCTAGAAAACGATCTTAGACCGTTGTCATCTAATTTTGGCATCACGAACCATGCATGATTGGTATTTTCTTGTAGCCAATTGGTCCTGAAAATCTCCGGGTCGTGCACGCGACATGAAGTGGTCTGGGTTCGCCTTCTCTCGGCGGAATTGCTGACGGACACAGGTACCCATAATTTGGCGGAGCTGTCTACTCGTATACACAGCACAGTCTGTTCAGCACCACAACGACGACGACTGGACGGCGTGGGTGTTCATTTTTGTTCCTTTTCAGTATGTTTGCGACTACGCAAGAATGATCCATCGTGTATTTTGGGATGAAGGTCGTTGAATGGGGTACCGCGCGCGCCTGACTTCCGGAAAGGGGCAACATCCTCAACCGAGGCATGATGGCCAGCAAGGCTATGCATGCGACGTCCCCATTGTTCTCTGCTTTTGCTTATCGTATGAGGAGCGCACTAGTCAGACGTCTTTGGCGAAATCCGTTCGGCGGGTATCAGCGTGCATGTGTATTGTTGTTGCTTCCATGTTTGACAGCTTCTGGCCGGTGCGACAGCTGACAGCTGAAGTCTGGCATCACGATCCCGTATATTCGCAAGGAATGGCGATGCGATAAGAAGAAACGTCGCTGGTTTGCGCACTTTCTTCGGCGCTGGAAAGATGCCGGTGGTAAAATGGAAGCCCAAAGATTTGATTGAAACTGGTGGGAGCTCTGAGTGGAAAGACGCCAGGGTTCGGCTTGGCAGAGTGAGCTGAGTAAGCAAATCTCTCCCTCTCCCTCAAGGTCTGTCATCTGCCCACAATGAAGAGACAGGAATGATTGAAACATTAAAACATTGCTGTATATCCCTTTACTCATTCACAGTCGATTGTTCTAACTTCCACTCGATTCCGACGCCTCGTCCTTGCACTGAAGGTGTGAAAGGCGCGAAAGCTTGCTCTACAGCAAGCCAAATGGGAGTTCGCTGGAATATTCATGATTCATTGTATCGATACAAACATCAAACAAGCCTTTCACTCATAAAAGACAACATCTGCTCCGTTGGCATACGGGGTCCGACATGTCATCTCAACATGGAATCGGACGGGTATAGGACCGAACTACAATTTCGTCACACATACCTTGAATACATTATATAAGCAAGCCTCCGACAGCTACACTGATGGCTCAGCCCTATTATAGGACAGAGTCTGCGCATTATACCATGTCATCTGGAAAGTCATTATCAGAAAGGTACTGAGATCCGCGATGCATCTAGGCTATCGCTTTCACCGGTGCGAGCGCGAGGTAAACCGCAGGCGTTTTGATTCGGGTGAAAGTCGAGATGTGAGCTTCTGTGTGATCACTCCTCATTTGGACCGATGGATGGCGACCTTGTTCAGTCACACATCTCTCCCCGACACGATATAATCCCGCGAGCTCCTATATGATCACAGTCTCTCCACACCAACCGGCGACTCTCTACGACCCAAGCAAGGTATTGCAACCGCAACCAAGACCATCGCAAGATCCTGTCAATCGACATCAACCATGACACCCAACGCGCAACTGTCACGGTCTCCTACCCCCGAACCAGTCATCAACGAGGTGATCAACGAGATCTGCAGTCGTTGGAATATACAACACGTCCAAGAAGCACTTCCAAATGGCCTAAGCTATAGGCACACCAATGACATCGAGAGATGGGGTGAGGAATTTCTAATCCTCCTCCTGGATCTAGCGAGGCTCACGACAGGAAAGCTGGACGAAGTCAAGGAAAAAATACAAAAGCGTATTGATCAAGGGCGGAACACAAAGCTCAGTCGCGATACATGTACCACGCGGGGTGATATCATGGCATTGATCTGGCACTATGACCAGGAAGACACTGATGAAGACTACGTGCCTCCCGTGCCGAAAAGGGAACGTCGTTATAATCCTTAGGCTCAGAAGCGAGTCCAATTCGACTGGCATCTTTGCCTGTCATCTCGGCTTCGGTCAAACGTTCATTATGGCAGTCAACGGTGCGTCCCTCTTGAGATGAGAAAGAGAAGCCCCTCACGCGACAGCAATCGGCCGGTGATGGTACGAACCGAGCCTAGGAAAGGCTTACCGATGTTGGAAAGATATGGAGAAGATTGAGATACCCGAATCCAAAAGATTACAGTGAATTACTTGTATGATCTTGCAACGTGACGTCATGTATCCCAAGCTCTTTCCCTTCAAGCAACCTGGTAGAGGCGTGAGGTGAGGAAACCGCTCTAGATTCCCGCTTGACAGGCGTCAGGGTGCCCCAGTATGTGTGCCTGTCTGTAAGGGATCTGGTAGGATAAAGTTGGACCAACACGCCGGAAAGTCGTCCGGAACGCGTAAGTCGCCTGAACGTAAGCTCCTTGACATCGGGTCGTCATCGCGTGCTCGAGAACGCGTTGCGAGGTCGCCGGACCAAACGCGGTGCGTACCAAAATGCGTTTCTCCTAAGTCGATAAGGGCAAAGGTAGGAAAAGTCGAGGTACAGATGTGGGGTAGTTTTGGAGATCGTGAGCTAGCAGCGCCAAGGACCTCGGCTCAGATCCTCAGAACCAGCCGCCCCTCAACAATCACAGGCAAGCGGCACACCATCGTCATCGCGTTATAAGTTCCTAGTCCCGCAATGGAGCTCTCTTCATCTCTGTCGACACTGCCACGAGCGCAATGGTGGACCTCACGCAACATCCCGTAAAGGCCGTGTATGGGCTCGGCGCCCTGGGCTTCGAGCTCGTGCGCTTCCCTATCATCCTCATCAAGTTCC